TATAATTAGTTTAGTAAGTAATAGGGATTTTTTTATTATTAATAATAGTCTAAAGATATTATTATTACTTATTATAATCGCGTTCTTTTTTTATAATATTAATTAAAATACTAAGCTAATAATAAATATTAGTAAATATAAGTACTAAGTTAAGGATAATAAGTTTATATTTTAATATTTTATTTACGTAGTAAAAAAGTTAATTATTTATATTAAAAATAAATTTTTAAGTAGCTAGCGCTTTATAAAAGATTATAATATAGTTAATTAGCACTTATAAAATTTATTAATTTAACTTATTTAAATACTTATAAACTATAGAATATTAATAAAAATTATAAAGCTTAGTAAGGTAGTTTTAATAATTTATAAGAAGTTCGAAGTACTCTTAGGTTTTTTAATATATAATATTAAAACTAAGCGGGTTAGAGGTACTATTTAGTTAGTTAAAATAAAAAGTTAACGCCCTATTTTTAAATATATTAAAGAAAATATTAATATAATATTATTTACTAATTCCTATTTATTAGTAAAGTATTTTAAAAATCCGAAGTTTTTTATTAAAAACGTTATATTTTTTGTTATTATACTTATTCTTATTATTATAAAGCTTAGTAAGGTTAATTAATTAATAAGTATTAGGTATAATATTATTATTAATCCTTTTATTAAATTATATTATTTAATAAGGTTAATTTTGTAATTATATAATAGTATTTTTTTTTAAAATTTTTTTTTTTTTAAAGAGGGGGTAAGTTAGTTAGCTAATAGCGGGGTTAAAATTAAAATTTTATTTATTAAAATTAAGCTAATTAGGGTTATACAGACTTTTTTATTATTTTTTTAATTCGTTAAATAAGGTTATTAATATTTATTAGTTATCATAATAATAAATAAAAAAAGTAAAGATTTTAATATAATACGTTAAAATATTTAATACGGCCTTAATAAACTATAATTTTTTTTAGAAATCTAAGTTAAAAAATATTATATTTTTTAAATACTAATAAGCTTATTTATAATTTAACTACGATCCCTAATTATAAAATTAATACTATTATTTATAAAAAAGTCTTTAAACTTTTTAAAAATCCCGTTTTTAATTTTTAAAAAGTTTTTTATATTTTAATTATTAAAATTAATTTTAAAATCCTTTTAAAACTCCTCCCCTATTAAGCTTTTTTTATAATAAGATTTTAATATATAAATAATAAAAGTATTAAGTTTTTTATTAAAAGCGAGGGTAGGTATAATATTAAAAATACTTTATTAAGTTAAATTAATAAGATTTTATTAACGGATTAGAATTATATATAGTTTTATAATTTAAGTATATAAATAAGTTAGAAGTGACGTTAACTAATTATTAGTCTCTTCTTATTCATTATTAAAGCTAGTAATTACTATAATATATTTATAAAATAGATTTTATATATATATAATAAAAAATAATTACGTATAGTAATTATTATAATTATTAATAATATAAAATTAATAAGGTTAAAAAGAGTAATAAGATAGCTACGGAGGTTATTTTAATAATAATAAGCTTATTATTACTAATAATTAAAAAAATTTTATTTTTTTAATAAAGTATATAAATAAAAAGTTATTAAAGGTAATAAAAAGCTATAAAAAAAGTAAAAAGCTCTTTTATAACCGTACTTTTAATAATAAGTAGAGGATTTTATTAATTAATAATTTTTTTTTAGTATTTTTAAATATTTATTTTATAAATATTATTTTATTATTTTTATTAAGTTAAAAAGAGATAGATTTATTAATAATATAAAATAGAGCCCTATTATTATTATTATTATTAAGGGGTTTTTTTTTTAATAATATAATAATTGCGGAATATTTTATAGCTTCGTTAGATAATAAATTTTTTATTTTCATAAAATAATAAACTTTTTAACTTTATAATTTTTATAATTAACTTTTTAATAATAAGTAATCCCCCTTTACTTTTTAATAATTTAAAACCTTATTTAGTTATAATATATTTAAAATTAATTACCCCATAAGTAATTTAAAAAAAAAAAAAGGAGAATAATAATAATAATAATTTTTAAAATAAGGTTAACAATAAGAATAAAACTAATAATAAAAATAAAAATATTAATTTTTTTATAATAATAATTTTAATAAAAATAATTTTATATAATAGAGCGCGCTCTTAATAATTTTTAATTAGTTAATTAGTTATTAACTAGCGTTAATAAAAAAAAATTAAAGTAATATAAACTAGACTATATATTATTAATTAAATAAATAAAACTAAGTTAATAAGTTAAAATAACTAGCGAGGTAGGTTAAGGCTATTTTTTTTATAATTATATCCTTATTAATTTATAATAAAAATATATATATAATTTAATTATTAATTAATATTAATATATATATAAAGTAAGTTAGACTTTTTAGTTATAACGAGGTTAATAATAATAAATTATTTATTAAATATATAAAAAGGAGGAAGTTTATAGGTAGAGCTTGCGATCTTTTTATAAATATAAGTAAGTAAAAGGGTCCGTTAGTACGGGCCCCGATTACCTACCTAACTACTTACTTACCTACCTACCTAAATCTACCTTTTCTACTTTCGTAATCCAATAGAGGTGCTTGTTCGATGTTCCGGGCTATTGGAACTTGGCCCGGAATAGCCAGAATTCACAGAGGGTTCTTCTTTACATACAGCAACACCCTGGGACTGTGATTAGTACGACTCGGTGATGCCTCATATTATAAGCGAAAGAACTTTCTAATTGGTACACCGCAGTGCGTATGACTTCCTCTTGGATACGCCCGAGGGGAGAGAGATCTTGAGTTACTGCACATTATCAAAGCTGGAGCTCCAGCATCAAGTGATTTTTGCTTGGGTTGCAATCTGTCAGTTAGGGCTAATTAGACGAGGTTACATGTACTCCCGGATCACCAGGCCTGAAGACGGTTGCTTGAATGAGCTTGACTGGATATTCTCATCTATCGAAACCTCAGTCTTCGATAGTTCGGGCCAGCCAGGTTATCGAAAAGAAGACTGGATGCATCTCATGAAGGCCTGCGAGCGGCTTTGCAGAACAGGCCGGCTGGTATCTCTTTACAGCTACCCGATCAACATTTTCGGCCATGTTTCACCGGCCAGATTTTGGACAATCGCCGCACGGTATGGTTTGCTACGAATTGCTTTTCCCGATGTAGAAAACCTCGATTTTCCACCCGAGATTCTGTCTGAGCTGCTTTTTCAGACGTGCTATCACGCGAGTGGACACCGGAAGACGCTATCCTATGCTGACAGTAGTCGACTGACTGCTAAGCTTCTGAAGCATGGAGCTGACCCAGACACAAAACATACGAGAGGAATGTTTTCAGAGGTACTTGAGACACCACTTTCTATGATTCTTCAGAATGAGATCCACACGGGATATAAAAGTCGTGAAAGTTGGCTGTATTTCCTACATACTCTGAGTTGCTTCGCAGATCATAATGTGAATTTTCAGCAGAGTGTCTTAACTTCATTCCGTTTCGGATCTGATGGGTGCATTGTTGCGATCAATAACGGCCCCTACATTGCACCTAGGGGGACCATTCACGCCGTTCTGCCGGCGTCTGTTTTGATCGTTTCCGCAGTCGCAACCTATCGTACTCAAGGTTTGACCTTGACGCAGGAGTCCGAACACCTTTTGAGCCTTTTGGGCACCAGCTGTGGGGCTTACGGCAAGTCCGATGCTTGTGTTATTGGCTTACAGGACATGAACAGCCCCCAGCCCAAGTTTTACGGAAAGCTCAGTCCTGAAGATTCGGATCACTTGTGTGAATTTCTTATCGAGCATTTATTCCCAAAAAGGGAGTCCCGCGGGATTCTGTGGCGGTTTGACCAGGAAGACCAGGGAAAGACTTTTGACGATGTGCTTGGAAGGAGTGAGTTGAGCACGAAGGGGATCAAAGATCACCTCATAGATCTAGGTCTTGCACAAGCGAAGACATACGTCGACGATGATGGAGTGCAGTATTCCCAAGACGCTGCAGAGAAAATGATGCCCGAGTGGATAGTCAGTTGGCTTGATGGGAAACGACTCATGTATTAAGGCTCTCTTGGTTTCCTACAGAATTTTATACAGAAGCGATTGAAGCCAGATGTATAGTGCATCATTGGGTAACTCTGCAGTGCCCTATTTTGGTGATGGGACTGCCTGCGTTTTGCGAACCTTGCAGAGGGGCACCCAACTACCATCTGCTGAGCTGTGAGTTTCTCCCCAAGTTCTCTTGGGGGATATGAACCATCAGCTGACTACGAAACTACAGGTAACGTTAATTTGAACTATACGGATTTTCTCATTCATTTTTTGGCCTTAGAGTGATGACAGGATCATACCAACATCCTGAGGAACATATGAAGCCATTTATTCGTCCCACCAACAGTTGCAAGCTTTTGCTGGCTGTAGAGAGTGACTTACTGGCTGATCAACTGTCTGACGACGAAAAAACAGTCCCCACAGGTACATCTTCTGATCACATAGAGGGTCGGAGAAGCTCTTATAGTGAGTTAGAAACATGGCGGTGAGAGTGCGACTTAGGCATGGGTCCTGGGATGTCGAACGCCGCGTTTGCAGGGTAACCGAAACTCAATTATAGAACTGTGGTATGCCGGAGCCGCCGAGCACCAGAAATACTCACCCGAGATTGAATCGGAACTCTATTGAGCCTTGGAGTAACCATTCGGCCAATGCCGCTGCCCGTATTTCTCATTACGGACGCCTGCCAGCTTGAAGATTTGCAAGGGTTCTCAGTGTCCCACTAGAGTTGTGCCTTGCCATTAGCGACCGGCGAAGAATATAAGTACAGGAGGCAGAAGTTAACTTAGTCTTCCAATGGATCTGTGAAGCTTGGACGGTAAGAGCAACAATTGAACAGCCTGCTGCGTGAAATCAGGAGTTGTTTTTTCGGCTATTCCTTTACTTCTGTCCTTCAATATCTCTCGACAGCAAATTAACCTCATCATGCATTCTCAGATTGTCTCGTGCATGGCTCTTTCTTTACTAGCCACCATCGCAAGTGCGCGGTTCGAGGACCCAGAGCACCCATACATAGCCCCAGCCTCAACCGACCGTCGCTCGCCATGCCCAGCCCTCAACATCCTTGCCAATCACGGCTACATCAACCGCGACGGTGCCTTCATCTCAAGTGAAAGCGCCACGGTAGCTCAGATGCAAGCCTTCAACTTCTCCCGCGCCGTGTCAGCGGGCCCCGTTCCCGCGGCGCTGAAGTACTCCACCACGGGTGTGAACGGGTCTTTCCACCTCGACGACCTGGCGCAGAAGCCACTAGATCACGACGGAAGCTTGAGTCGTGGAGACCTCGCGCTGGGTGATAACCTGCGCTTCAACAGGACGATTTGGAATTCCTTTGTGGCTAGATTGCCTGACGAATTCGTTACCTGGAAGCAAGCTGCCGAAGCTGGTGCTGCAAGACTCGAGGATGCGAGGAAGGAGAACCCTGATTTTGTGCTTGATGCTGCAGGGGTCGCGGCTACGGTGGAGCAGATGAGTGGTCTCCTTGCTGCCCTTGGAGGAAGTGTTGAGGACGGAAAGGCGAGGAGGGATTGGATCAATGCGAGTTTCGTGGAGGAGAGATTGCCTTGGGCGCTTGGTTGGAAGACGAGTGAGACGGTGCTTGAGGGAGCTGCATTTGGACCCATGGCCAAGGCTCTGAGGGAGTATGCGCCGGGCGGTGTTTGATTGCGGACGCCTGAGCAGAAAGATACTCAATGTACATGTCAGTGAATCGCATTACAAACTTCCCAGAGTGTGGTCTTGTGGGGTAGATGGATTCCATTAGCATCAACATCTACAACGTGGGTATGTGGCAGAACTGCAACTCGAGTCATATAGCACCTCCAAATGAGCGCCCGCCGTATATGAAGAAGCAAATATGTGGAATTGAGTGCTACTAGTGAGGTGCTGCGTGAACATTTAGTCGTGACCAATGACGTTCTTAGGAACATAAGGCTCCTCCAGGTATTTGGCTTCCTCATCTGTCAGAGTCTTGCCCCGCAGCTCGCATGCCTCATCGACTCTCTTGACAGAGTTGAAGCCGGTGATGGGAACTCCGCCCTTGTAACGAATCCAAGCGAGCGCAACATGGCTCATGCTCCATCCCTTCTTCTCCGCGATCTCCTCAACCCTGCGAATGATGTTCTCATCTGCCTCGCTGAGATCGGGGTTCATCGGACCCTTGCCCTGAGATCGGATGCTGGTGTTCTCAGCCTTGACTGACCGTGCCAGCTTTCCGCCGTAGAGGGGCGACCAGGGAAGAAGACCCACGCCCGTCTCCTTGCAGAAGCGGTTCATTTCGCGCTCTTCTTCACGGTAGACAAGATTGTAGAAGTTCTGCATGCTGACGAACTTCGTCCAGCCGTTCTTCTCGGCGACGAACTGCATGCGCGCGAACTGGGTCGCCCACATAGAGCTGGCGCCTATGTAGTGGATCTTGCCGGCTTGCACAAGGTCATGGAGGGCTTTCATGGTCTCCTCGATGGGCGTGTTCGGGTCGAAGCGGTGGATCTGGAAGAGATCGATGTACGTCGTTCCCAGGCGGGCGAGGGCGTCATCGACAGCCTTGAAGATGGCCTTGCGAGAGAGGCCGCCCTGGTTGACGTAGTCTTTGCTCTGGCGCACTTCTTGAGGAAACATGGTAGTGTGGAGGTTCGTCTCCTCGCCCACGTAGATGAAGCACTTGGTCATGAGAACGATCTTCTCGCGGGGGATATTGAACTTCTTGATGGCCTTGCCGATGACTTCCTCGCTGACGCCGTTGGAGTACATGTTCGCGGTGTCCCAGGTGTTGATGCCGCGGTCGTAGGCGGCCTTGAGGATCTCGAGCGATGCTTCCTCGTCGAGCACCCACGGTGCCCATTCGCTGGACCCGAGTGACATGCCGCCCAGGACTGGAACGGACACCCGGAGACCAGAGGTTCCAAGGTTTACATATTCGACCTTGGTGGTGTCGATGCTCTTCTGAAGAGAGGCGGGAACGGGAAGTGCAAACATTGTGAATAGATGGTTGCGCTGAAGGAAGCTGAGGGTAGCGGTGCTTTTAATTTTAATGTTGATGTCAAGATTGGAGATGTTGCGCTAAGCGTGAATTGATGAGATACTTATTCAAGATGTTTGACTGAAATCGCATGGTTATATAGCATACATCTTGAATCCTTCATGACATTGATCATGATATTGATCATGACATTGAATGACCATCTTACCTTGAATGTCGGCGTGGATTCATCAGCACTGGCCTAGGGTACTGAGGAGATAGTCGTAAAATCCGCATCATGAAACCTTACACTTTGAGTATCGCCAGGCTTCAGTTGGATTATCGTGGCTTCGAGATGGTAAAACACTGTTAAGACCGTCTATGTCCATTACTCACTGGGAGATGCAGAATGTATGTTTGTCAGACGATGGTGGCTGGTTGGCTTGTTAGCCGGTGCATCAACGGAAAATCTGCCACATTTCCACCGTAAACTTGCCAAACAGTGCAGCGGGCAATTGACGGACTCTTTTCTTGTCCGTTCCTTTTAAGTCCTCCTGAACAGTGTCGCAGCATTTGGGACTTTGGTTCTTAAGACGCAGCGGACCTTGGCGCCTTTAGGGCCCAGCTCCGCAGAATCCCGGGGTTTAGTGCTTAAGCCCGGGGCAAATTGGCCGAGCCGGCAACGAACAAAACTTGTTGACACACCAGCCAACAGGCCGTTGCTTGGAGTGCGGGCACTACTTCTGGTGCTCTAGTGATAGGTAATTTATGGGACAAAACACCTAGCGGATGCCTTTGCACGCGATATCCTTCAGTCATGATGGCTTCAAGCGCTCGTATACCGGACAGTTCTATGAGCTCAACTTAATGGCATATATGCGACGGTCAAGGTGACGAGAATAGGCTGGTTCAAATTTTTCCTGGGTTCTCATGGGCCCAGCTAGCGCTACTCGTCTTCGTGATTGTACTTTTACCCTCATCGCGAAGTTGTAGCTGTGAGAATGTTCGAGCTCCTCTGCCATATACATTTCAGCAAGTGACACGATTGTTATCTTTGAAAATGATGATTCCTGCTGGTCTTTCCCTCTGGTTATGAGATTATACAAGTGACTTGGAGGCTGTCAGACTGCCAAAGTTGCTTACGGCATCCTTAGGACTCGGTTGTCGTTGGTTTTAAGTGAGAGATTGAGTCAGCCAGTCTACTGTGATTCAGCCAAATTGAGATATATGCGACTTGCAACAGGGTCCCCTGACTATTGTGATTGTTCGCACGAAATCCGCCCAATTTTGTGGCACACGAATCAGTCACTATTCCCAATCCCATTGTGGTCTCTACGTAGGTATACATGTGGGAAGTTCTGAAGGCCTCTGCTAACAGTTCGCCTGATCAAGTAGTGGCTTAACTCCGCCAACAACAGCTATGCCCGGTGCCCTGCCTATCAAATCGCGCCTCTTGACTACCAAAAATGCTCACAAAGAGACAAATTTGTGAACATCCAGAGCTTGATGCTCTTCCAATAGGTGACGAGTCCAACCAGTAGGGCGTGGTACCAGAAGGCAGCCAACGAGATGGATTTGCAGACACAGCTCTTTGAGCTATTCTGAGACACGGCATGGAGTTAAGGTTGCTCGCGCCCGGCCAGCGGACCCCATCTACGTCCCGACTAAAGCACTTGGAAAATTTAGGCCACTCCCGACCATCTGGCACTGGTCCGCGCGGTCTCCGCTCCGCTCCCCCTTGCTAACTCCGTCATAGACTTGGGATGAAGTCGCAAGCAGCCATAGGTAGTTATATAATGGTTTCGTCCAAACACGTTTTTCAACGTCATGTTATTAAGGAACCCCTCTCATCATCACACTTGAATTCATTAGCTTCACTATCATCTACATATCAATCACTATTATATCCTACACTTATAGCACGCAATGGGCTTCATCTACAGTCAGCTCTTCAAGTCCCTGCCGTATCCCACCGGCTCATATGCAGGCAAGACCATCATCATCACCGGCAGCAATGTGGGTCTCGGCAAGGAAGCCGCCCGGCACTACGTCCGTCTAGGCGCCAGCAAGATGATCATCGCCGTCCGAAGTCTCGACAAGGGCCGGGCCGCCAAGCAGGACATCGAGGCCACCACTGGCTGCGGCAAGGACGTCATCGACGTCTGGCAGCTCGACATGTCCAGCTACGCCAACGTCCAAAAGTTTGCTGAGCGTGTCAAGTCTGAGCTGGAGCGCGTTGACATCTTCATTGCCAACGCCGGTGTGGTGCACAACAAGTTCAAGGACATGGAAGGGGAGGAGGGAACTATCACCGTCAACGTCGTGTCCACATTTTTGCTCACTGCCCTCGTCCTGCCTAAGCTCAAGGAGACTGCTTCCAAGTTCGGCACGAGACCTACCTTCACAATCACCGCCTCCGAGGTGCACGCCTGGACAAACTTTGAGGAGCGAACCGCCCCCGACGGCGAGATTTACAACACCATCAAGGAAAAGGCAAAGGCCTCAGACGATGCCGTGAGCAAGCTCTACCCTCTTTCTAAGCTCCTCGAGGTCCTTGGCGTTAGAACCATCGCGGAGATGCACCCGGCTTCTGAGTATCCCGTCACCGTCAACTGTGTCAACCCGGGCCTCTGCCACTCGGAGCTGGGACGTGAGGCCGGGGGATGGACCCTGTGGATTATGAAGCTTCTCTTGGCGCGCACGACCGAGTACGGCAGCAGGACGCTGGTTCATGCGGGCGCCTCGGGTGCCGATACTCACGGCAAGTACATGTCTGACTGCGGCATCGAGGAGCCGTCACCGTTTGTGAGGAGTAAGGAGGGCAAAGAGGCACAAGATCGAGCCTGGAATGAGTTGGTACAGAAGCTGGAGGCCATCAAGCCTGGTGTGACGGGCAAGATCTGAAATCCGATGACAGTGGCCGGTTCCAATGAGCTCGTGTTTCCTTTGTAGTCTGTCTGTCTAGTCTCCGTAGGATTCCCCAATTTCATAATACTTCGTCTTGTTTATTACTTCGTCTTCACGATGAAATGCTAGCACTATCATCAGCACACCATGCCTCGTGTACCCGGCAAAGAACACAAGGAGGCTGTGAGCACACTACGAACTGCCTCAATTTCATGATCAAGTTCATTCTCCTGTAAAGACATTCATCTAATATCCACTTGATAAATGAGAAGCTCTCAATTGACTTCTAAATCTCTCTCCACACCATTCTCATGAAGCTTCATCCCATTGGTCATGGGCACAGTAGCACCGACTCGCTCAATATGAAAGTTGATTTAATTCAAGAAAGCGTTGTTAAGGAAATTCCAAAGTGAGGCATGATCCAAGTCCTCTGATGCCTATCTTCAATACATGTACTGAGAAGGGGTTAAGTCGTGCTTAAGCCCGGCCGGCCAAGCAAGCTGCTAACGGATCTGACAACGTTGCTGGCAGCATAGCTCAACTGAGCATCGGGTGAATAGCGGACAAGTTGAAACATCCGAAGCTGCTGACTCGACAAGAGCGCTCTGTTGATGTGCTTTTGCAGATTGATCGCCCTTATAATCAACTTCTACGCATGGGCAATCGGTTATGAGATCTAACTAGGATGCGGCATTGAAGGATCGACTGTTTACCGGATTAGGCAACCAATCGTGGGTGTATGGAGATTATGGTTGGTCACTCTTAATTCCGTGCCTTGCTTACTCAACCACAGCGTGTAAGAGAGTAACTCTGAGCAGAGGATACGAATGAACTTGATTCAGGACTTACGGTATGTTGGTCGTAGCTTCAACCTAGAGACTTTGGAATAGATACTTATAAGTAAGTCCTCGAGTTCATTCAACACAGCGAAACATTGGTCCACGACAACATCCATTTCCCTCACATCACTCATCTCACAATCACTTCAACCGTCAATGACTTCTCAAATTCCCCAAAAGCGCATCTTCTTGACCGGAGCCAGTGGCTACGTAGGCTCAGTCATAACAGAGCTCGCACTCCAAGATGGCTACCAAATTCACGGTCTCTCCCGCAACGATTCCAGCGACTCGAAGCTCCGCAACCTCGGCGCCGTGCCCATAAGAGGCGATCTCACCTCTCTAGACGTCCTCCGCCACGAAAGCCAAGAAGCAGATATTGTCATCCACCTAGCCACAGCCTACGTATTCGGCGGCGAGCCATACGAGACCTTCAGACCTATCGACACTGCAGCCGTCGACGCCATCGCCGACGCTCTAGCCGGCACCGACAAGCCCCTCGTCGTGACGTCCGGCACGCTCTGCGTCGCGGCGGATCCCACCGGTGCAGAGACTACCGAGGCATCACTCGCGGACCCGGAACCCATCAACACCCGTATCTTGACCGAACTGCACTCTCTGGATCTCGTAAAGAGGAGGATTCGCGTCATGTCAATCCGACTGGCGCCCTACGTCTATGGCCGAAGCGGGAGTGGCATCGCGCAGTTCATGGGCATCGCGGCTCAGACTGGTGGGGTGACGATCGTCGACGGCGGGAAGAATCGTACGACCAATGTGCACGTTGACGATGCGGCGCGACTCTTCCTCCTAGCCGCGGAGAAGGGACGGGCAGGAGAGATTTACAACGCCAGCTCGGCGACAGATGTGACCTCCTTCCAGATCTCCGAGGCCATTTCTGCAGCTGTTCAGGTTCCGCTGAGAGATATCAGCATGGAGGTCGCAAAGACGCAGCTGGGGCAAACTATTTCCTTCTTCCTGTCCGTTGAGAACAGGGCGTCTGGTGCAAAGGCCAAGAAAGAGCTGGGCTGGGACCCGCGAGGTCTGGGCATCTTGGAAGACATCAGCAAGGGTTCTTACGTGGAAGTTGCCAAGGCCCTCAGGAAGTAGCTTGGCGATGAGGAGAGAGGAGGAAGAGGGAGAGAAAGCTGTCTTGTACCTCGTGAGGGGGATGCCGGAGTGAAAGTCTAGGAAGGGGGGTGTGAGAAGCGGCACGGGTGAGGGGAACCATACACACTCCAAATGCCAAGCAAAATTGCAAGCCACCCAAGACAATTTGATTGCCAAAGATCTCTTGTGACATCTCTTGGAAGCTGGAACTGACTAGCGACCTACTTGGCGTTTATTCAGGCTAAAAGAGCTTAAATCGACGTTTGCTGGGCCTGACCACCATGTACTCTCTGAATCTCAAACCCTTGAAGGTATTCTGAGATAATTTCAAGTGGCAAACTCCCGCGTTATTACTCTATCTCACTCACATGATGAAGTACTTCGAATTCCTCATGAAAGAGACTTAGACCAACAACGAAATACGGCGTGAAGTCAATTGACACGAAGACGCCAATGACAACTTATATGTTCGGCTCATTGTGTCGGCGCTGGGGAAAGGCCGTTGATTCACATAGATAATTCCCGGAGACTAAACCAATTGTCTTCAAGACACTTGTAGAGTCGCATACGTCGTATACATAGATGATTGGGAACTGAGCTGAGTGGAATCGCAGCGAGTCTATCTACGCTTGCGGTCTCATGACTACTCAAGACCATGGGATCAACCACGGGCGCATCACACTATGGAAAACTTTCTACACGAATCGGATTGTGTCATTTTTGACCAGGAAGATAATCCACTGACAGACACTCACGATATCAACATGGAAATCCCAGCCACAAAGTCAGATTCAGAGATAGTGCACAACATATTGGGTATATTGACGAAGCCAAACTTCATTATTGACTATTACATGAACAGATTACACAACCACTTGCATCCAGTATTTAGAAGACATAGCGGAAAGACAGGTTCTCCTTGTCAGTCTTGTCCTCAAAGGCGTGAGCAGTGTAGTCGGGCGAGGCCTCAGGGATACCAGCGGCAACCATCTCATCTCTCTTCCTATTCTCGCGGGAGAGGTAGATGCGAAGGCAGATGATTACGATGATGAGGAGCGCGTAGCAGCCCAAGTGGGTGGCGAAGGCGATGAAGTAGCGGGGGCCGTCCCACTTGAGGAAGACCTGGGGGCCAATGGCGTTACCGGCGGCCCAGACGATGAAGTTGATGGCGACGGCGAACTGCTTCTTTGTCTGGCCGGCGACATTTCGGGAGATGAGGGAGAGGGCCAGGGTCTGGGCTGACCAGAAGGAGAGGGTGATGTAGTAGCAGATGAGGAGGCCGACGCGCTGGGAGAAGGTGTTGTTGGGGACGGTCATGAGGAGGACGGTGCCGATGACGGAACTAGCGGGAGTGTTAGTGACTTGTTGGCGGTACACTGTGAGAAGGGGGGTTGACTTACGGGACACAGAAGCCAAGCATGACATAGAGGTTCTGGTTGAACTTCTTAACGAGCCAGACGGAGCCGAGAAGAACAAAGATGATGTAGAAACCGAGAACCATGGCCAGGAGCTGGACCTCGAGCGTGTTGAAACCGAAGCTCTTGATGATGATGTTGGCAAAGGCACCGAGACCAGATGTGGGCAGGGTGGTGCACAGGGCGATGAGGGAGTAGCCCCAAACCTGGGGATCCTTAAGGGCCTCGATGGCCTGCTCGCGCTTGAAGGTCTTGTTCTGGATACCGGTCTGGTTATCACGGACACGCTCGACCATCTCCCGCTTGACGTCCTCGGAGTAGCACTTGGCGCGCATGGGCGAGTCGGGCATCCAGAGGAGGACGAAGACGCCAAAGATGACGGAGATGACACCGTAGGCCAGGAACAGCCACTGCCAGGACTTGAGAGGACCGGTCTTGATGTGGGTGAAGCAGTAGGCGAGGAGACCGCCGACGACCTGCTGAGCACCATTCATCATGTACCAGTACGTGACACGGGACGCCTGCTCCTCGCGGCGGTACCACATGGAGGAGAGGATGACGAAAGCGGGCTGGCAGGCGGACTCAAAGATACCGAGGAGGGTACGGACAATGACGAGGCCCTTGAAGTCGGTGCAGGCGGCGTGGCAGGCGAGGACGGCACCCCATGCGATGATGGAGAAGCTGAGGTACTTCGCGATGGGGACGCGGGCAATGATGTAGTTCTGGGGGTACTCGACGAAGAGGATGGCAATGTAGATACAGGTGGTGAGCCAGGAGAACTCTTGGCCCTTGAGGTGAGTGTCCTCCTGGAGGCCCATGATGGAGGCGAAGGACATTGTGCCCTTGTCGATGGCCTGGAGGAAGTAGGTGCCGATCATGATGACCAGGACGCGCCTGTCAATCATCTTGCGCAGTTGGTCGCTGCGTTCCCTGGAGACGGTGATGGAGCCGTCGCCAACGTACTTTGACAGCTCATTGTCGACGTTCTCGAGGCGTTGGTGGTCGGCCTTCTCATTGGAGATTGTGCGCTCGACTTCGTGGAAGGACTTCTTGCCCGGGCTACCTCCGCTCATGGGGCGGACGAGCTCCGGGTCAGCGACTTCGGTAGATGCCATCTTGTCTATGTTAGACTGAGCGATAGGAGGTTCAGGATGGTGTTGCGGTGAGTGCCCGAGGTGTATGAGACGCAGTAAAGGTCTCAGATGTTGACTTGATGGGGCTATGGGGTCCGGAGTCTGTCTAACCTCTGCAAAGGAAAGGAAGAAGCTGAGCAACCTACGGGAGAAGAAGAGCAAGAGATGGGGGAAAGAGGATGCTACCTCGTTCTATATAAGAGCAGATCTCAGGTGGAGCACCCCGAAGGGTTGGTAATGGGTGGGTGGTAAGGTGTTAGGGAAAAGCGAGCCGTGGACCGTAGGTAGTGTCTTTGGATTCCTTCCCTTTCCCCTTCCGGATGTGGTATCAATCTGGGTTGTCAAACCCCGGAATCTCACCCTCATTCTCTCCTCACTTTTACCCCAAGATTCTTGTTGGGAAGCAGGCAGGACTTCTCCATTCCCCCGGTCCACAGCTCGGTTCCCCGCGAAAAGAGACGACGAGAGTAAGGCCAGGAATCAAACCCCCACGGGTCCTGGGCTTCTGGTATCCTGGGGTGGATATGGAGACGGCTTGCCGGGTCCTGTGTGGTTCGGCGAGCCGGATCACAGCTTGGACCAGACGATGGGTAGGCGAAGGATGGCCAGGAGTCCAGGACGAGTGGGTGCAGTTGGGACATCATTCGACCGAAGTGGCGGGAAGAGCAAGGTGCGATGTCCTGGTTTACCACCCCATCCCCCATACGCTCGCTCTCCCCCCCCCCCCCCTCTGAACTCCGCGTTTCTGCGGTGTATGTCCCAATATCTGGGGAGAAGATGGAGCAAGGGACAGGAACGTGGGTAAAGATTGGATAAGAAGGATAAGAAAGTGGGCAGGTTCATGGCTAGAGCAGCACGAGTCAGAATTAGGGATTGGGGGACAACGTTGCGACGACTGGGGGACCCATGGGGCAACAACATGAACACATGCGCGATGGATGGTCAACCGGGAGGAAACCGACAGTAAGCTAGGTGGGAATAAGGGTGTGGGCGCATAGCTCCAACGGGGGAGTTCTCTGGTCGAACTATCATGGTTGGCACGGCTGACGAGGTTGACCCAGCACGATGGTGTGCGCCTATACTGTGGTTCTCTGAACTGGATGAAGTGATTGGTGGGTTTCTGCAACGGGGGATAAGGCGCAAGACTAGTTCTAGTCAGTAGCATCTTGTTGGAATGTCTCACACGAGTCTGTAGTTTCTGGAGAGGGCGAAAGGTCAGCTAATCGTTGTTAGTAATCAGGCGTTTAAGCGGTTGAGAAAGCACGATCCCATGAATGTGAAGAGAGTCAGTTTTTGTGTTTTCGGGGGAGAGGTTATCGATGAGTGAGAATGGATGACGGCTGCGACTGCAGTGAGCGACTTGGCATGGCACTTGGGCGCTCTCCCGGCCGCCTCATTCCTTGGTTTCTTGGGCTTTTGTCGCCGCATTTCTGGGCAGATGAAATGGTCTAGCAGCGACTGGCAACGAATAGGAGGCTCAGACCACGAGGTCTCTGGGCGGAAGGGGTGTGTGGTGTGTGAACCAGCGTAGTGGTGGGCGGAAATGTTAACGACACGAAAAGCTGCTTCGGGCTGGCGGCGGGCATGCAGGGATGGGATTGGTTAATGTAAGGAAAACGGCCGTCTTGCCTCGAAGCAGGCTTGTCGTCGGTGCGAACCCTACCGATTCGACCGGACCGGACTTGGCTCACCACCCAAGGAAAAGCTTGACGGAGTCTCAAGTCTTGACGCTCGGGCTCAGCTATTCTTTTCCGTCTCTTGAATGTCTTGCAAAATGCCAATTGTTGTTTTGTCAATGGATCTGGCTAAGCTCATGCGAAGACGTGGTGAACCATGGTATCGCGGTGAAGTAGACAAGGCGTGGCACAGCAGTAAAGAGACTTTGACATGGGGCTCAGTCACCAGCAGGAGGCTGGGAATGGTGGTGGACCACATAACACAGTATGTCGTGTTGCAGCGGTTGCATTGCGTCTAATGTCCTGCGGTGAGAGTGCTTGCATGCATGGAACCACGGAAGGAAATTGAGGTCCGCGATGAGAATGTCATAGTAATCAGGAATGAAGACAGCCGTCCCACAGAAGCCGTTCCTATATGAGTGGACGTTTTCGTGCCTTGGATTCCTCAACCTCAAGGGGACTTCAAACTCATTCACCGTTCGTAATCTTGTTCATCTCTCTTAATCTTACTCCGTATTGTGCCGTCATTGCGGTGTCTGGGAAGGCATGGGATAACCTTATTCTACCGTCCAGGGCTCCGCAAAATGAAGTTTAGGCCTGGTTGCCTAGGGCAGAAATAGCCCCTCAAATCTCCTCTTCGATTCCGTAGGCTCTGGACAGTTCCCGGTTCCCCGTCGCCCGCCCTCTCCAGCTTTTGTTCGCCCAGAATTTCCCCCAAAGATCCAGTGCAGAAGGGATTGCGGAGAGTGTGCGGAGATGACTTCCCCAAAACACAG